AAATAAATCATATCATGAGAGATAAGATCATGTAAATATCAAAAGACATTATTCATATAGTAGATCTCCTCTTTAAATAAAATACCAAGAAAAATTATAGAGGTAAAGAGAAGTGATCTTAATTAGGAAAAATCTCAAGTAATTCGAAGAAATCAAGATCATGATTTGAATAAAACACATTCAAATTCAATTCGTCAAATCAAAATCATTTTAAAGAGATTCATAAAACGGACATAAATAGATTCATTAATCTCTTATTTTTAGAAAAATGGTAAGAGTTCAAAATCAAGATGATGATTCATAAAAAATATCATAAGTTATAATTAAGAGAAAAATCATCATTTATTCTCAATCATTCAACTTGTCAAATCAAAACATGTATCATTGTTTAAAATGAAAGTGCAAGATTTATCATAAAAATTATCAATATCAATAAATCATAAAAATCATCATGTATAACTTTAAAATCTCATTCATAAAATCGTGAATCATGGTATCAAAACATTTAATGTTTTTATTGCGTCATTATGCATCATTAAATATACAATCGTCAACACTTACATAATTTTATATAAGCATATCTTTTTCATTAATTCCTAATCAAAACATGCATCATTTTTAAAACCGAAAAAGTTACTTTCATTATAGTAAAATCGATAATCCATAAATCACCCAAAACTCATCATTACTTCAAATCATCATGCATAATTTTGAAAAATAAATTTATTAGGTATGATCTCAAATTACATTATTTCATCAAGCATAATTTCATATTTTCAATAAAAATTATTTTGTTTGTTTACCATAAAATATGTATTTTTCATAATTATTTTTAAAATCATTAGAAAGGTAAGCATGATCCAATTTTATTTTTGCATTTAAACATGTAATTCAAAAAAAAAATTAATTTTCTTAAACTAAATTAAAAATAAGTCATAAGAAGCATTATATAATTTCGAAATAAACTAAAGACATTTTGATTACCTCATCGTCGAATGCTGTTAAGGCGTAGTTTGCCACTTCGTCTTTGTTGATTTTCTCCTCATCTTCGGAGGAGCTCGATTCATCCCAATTTGTGTTCTTCTTCTTATGTTCAAAGCAAGTAGTTGCGTCCTTTTTGTTCTTTATTTTATGTTTCATAAACTTTTTAAATTTATTAGTGAGGAGTTCATGTTCACAATCACTTGAGCTTATGCTCGAGTGGTCTTCAAATGTTCTATGTCTGAAATCCTTCCTGTTCTTTGGAAGGTGTTCTCGAGTTCTTCACGTGCATTGCACGTCATTTCATAGGCCATCAAAGACTCTATTAGTTCTTCAATCAAAAAAGTATTCAAATTTTTTTATTCTTGAATAGCCGTTATTTTCGAATCCTAATTTTTTGAAAGTGAGCATAAAACTTTGTTTACAAGTTCAAAATCCGAAAAGCTTTTACCAATTGCTTTTAAACCATTGACGACATACGTAAAACGGGTGTACATATCTCCAATGGTCTCGCTTGGTTTTATATGAAACAGTTCATAATCGTACATTAAAAAGTTAACTTTAGAATCCTTAACTTTGCTAGTACCTTCGTGTGTGATTTCGAGAGTGTGTCATATGTCAAAAGCCGTTTCGCACAGAAATCCGATTAAACTTAGTTTTATCTAAGGCGCAAAATAAGACATTCATAGCCTTTGCATTTAGAGAAAAAGTCTTCTTCTCCAAATCATTCCAATGGTTCATTGGAAGAGAAGATAATTGAAAACTAAATTTGACTATGTGCCATAAATCGAGATTTAATGAACGCAAGAAAACTCTTATTCGAGTTTTCCAATAAGTGTAGTTTGTCCCATTGAAAAAGGGAGGACGAATGAGAGAGTGACCCTCTTGAAAGCCGAAAAGAGTCATTTCTCTTTGGGTGTTAAACCAAATGATAAATAATGAGGCTTTGATACCAATTGTTAGGAACAGGGGTTGGCATTAAGGGGGGGTGAATTAGTGCAGTAGTAAAATCGTCGGTTTCGTGAAATCTTCGAACGTTGAAAATCGATCTCAGAAAGTGTTTAACTTTAAAACATTTGCAAGAATGTAATGAGCAAGTGAAGTAAGTAAATCAGTTTGCAATACGTGAATTAAAAGCAGAACAAGAATGTAAACTGATTTATAGTGGTTCGGTCGTCGTGACCTATATCCACTCCGTCAATTCCTCTTCCGTCGAGGCCACCGGCATCCACTATCGATCTTCCTTTAATAGGGGAAGATCAACCTCCTTCTTACACCCCTCTTCTCCTTTTACCAGGTTTAGGAGACAACCCCTACAAGCACTCATCCTCTCTTATAGAATTCTAAACTTAGAGTAGAGGAGGAAATTTCTAAAGAGATTACAGCAACGTTTCTTCACTTTTAAACTCTCTATGCTTTGTTTTTTAACTAGGGATGAGAGGGGTATTTATAGGCTTCAAGTTGATTCAAACTTGGAGCCTAAAAACATCTCATCCCGGGTTTCCCGGGCATGGGCGGTACCACCGCCAGTGTCAGTCTGACACTCGACGGTACCACCACTAGGGAGGCTGTGCTGGGCGATACCACCGCCTGACATAGTTTCGAAGATTGTGCCACGATGGTGAGACTTCTTGGGGCACTATTTGGGCCTCTCATTGGGCCCAACACAATCCTTACATGGGCCTAGCTAGCCCCTAATTGGGTTGGCCCAAATCCAAACCTAGTTACATGCTAACTACGATTCCTAAGACATTTACTAAGCTAAATAAGTCCCTATGTCTTGGTTTCTTCAGGCGAGCTTCCGGCGATCTTCCAGCAATGTTCTGGCGGACTCCTAGCAAGCTCCTAGACTTCACGACGATCTTCTTGGCAAGTTCCAACGAGCTTCTCAAGCAAGCTCCTAGACTTCTTGGCTAGTTCTGACAAGACTTTCGACGAACGTCCGGACTTCCGACGAACTCTCAAACTCCCAACGAAATCGCGTCTTTGACTATGGAACTTCATTTTGCTTCATGCCTTACTATTGTAGTTAATCCTGCACATGTAAAACACACTTCGTTCTAGACAATTAATACTAAGCATTAATCATGTTGTTCGGAATGTCATTTGTCCCTCGACGCTTCGTCCGATTCTTCAGCGTATCGTCCTCCCTTGTGGCCTATTGCTCAATCAACCAGTTGACTCTACAACTCCGATATCCTTGGCGCAATATCCGCTCTTCTTGACTCGATGCCCGAATTCATGGCCCGAAGCCTTCTGTCGATACGTCAACCGATCCACCGGCTCGACGTCCAATCTTCTGACATGTTTTCCTCTGGCCTAACATGAGTTTTCCTGCTTTAATTGTCTCATCCTGATCGAAGCATCCTGCGTCACTCAAAATACATATTAAATCATAAATACTATTAATTGGTTTCATTATCAAAATACGAGATTCAACATCTTGTACATTATTCCCAGTATTCTATTTGTACCTAATCTCATAAAATATCTCAAAACAATGCTTGTTCTCTGAAATTCTTGACTTGGGGATACAGTGTGAAGGATTGGCGGGGCCGTCACTTCTCTCACGAATTTTAAGCACGTAGTATTTGCTTCACATTATGGAGATCTTCTAGCAAATCAAAGCTACATTTAACTTTGCAAGTTTTATCATTGGTAATTGATAGCATATAAGATTTTCCTAATTATATGAGTAAATCTCTCTACTCTGGTAAGAGAAAATCCTCCATCTTAATTTGTATAAATATGGAGAGAATAACTTCAATGTAAAACAGCTTCTTCAATAATTCTTCTTGTCTTCTACTCTTTCCAACATGATATTAGAGCAAGTGAGACGAGCGAGGCTCCACAGCCATCGAAGTCTGCCATTCACCACATCCCTTTGTAGAGCAAAGAAGGGGGGAATTCTTTCCCGTCGGACTCGCTGCCCTATTGGACTCCCCTCTCCGTCTGTTGTACGATGCGTGATGCCTTCGCTGTTACCCCAGCCGCTGCCATGACCACACCCGGCGTCATCATCAGGTGCGGCCACAACAATGAGGGCATGTTTTGGTGTAGCTGACTGCTCGCCCTTGGCAGTGGATCCCTCTCCAACCCCTGCCCGCTCCTTCCCTCTTCTTCTTTATGCGGCCTTCTTCTTCACCGGTGCTGCCTGCACCGACCCCAGGCTCAGGTTGTCCACCGTCGTAGCATCGTCTTTATCAGGCTGTGATCTACATCAATCATAGCCCGCTGCCTCGCTATCAACTATCGATCCTCAGCTCCTGCTAAGAGCTAATCGCTATAGGTTTCTCTGCCAAATCCCTGTAGATTTCTCCACCAAATCGCTGTAAATTCCTCCTACTACAGCTTCCTCCTCTACTACAGCATCGTTGCAGCTTCCTCCTTTGCTGTAGCTTTCGCTGTAGCTTCCTCCTCTGTTGTAGCTTCCGTTGCAGCTTCCTCCTCCGCCGTAGCTTCCTCCTCTATTGCAACATTGCTATAGCTTCCTCCTATGCTACAGCTACCTCCTCTACTGCAGCTACCTCCTCTATTGCAGCTTCCTCCTATGCTATAGCATCGCTGTAGCTTCCTCCTCTGTTGTAGCATCGCTACAACTACCTCCTCTGCTGCAGCTTTCTCCTATGCTTTCTCCTCTACTGAAGCTACCTCATCTACTGTAGTTTCCTCTTCTACTGTAGCATCACTGTAGCTTTCTCCTCTGCTGCAACTTTCGCAGCAGCTGCAATTTTCACAGCAGCCATAGCTGCCGCAATCGTAGCCGCAGCAGCAGCAATGATCTGCTCTTGCCCTACTAATGAAGCCTTTCGCTCATAAACTATTTGCTTTATATCGATCCAAGATTGGTATCCTTGATAGGAGCACAATCTTACAGCGGCATGATAGCAGATAAGATTTTTCTAATTATATGAGTAAATCTCTCTACTCTGATAAGATTTTCCTAACTGTATGAGGAAATTTCTCTATTGAGAAAAATCCTCCCTCTTAATATAAATAAGGAGAGAATAGCTTCAATGTAAAATAGATTATTTAATAATTCTTCTTGTCTTTTATTTTTTTCAACGATAATTAATTGTGTGATGCTTGTGAAATCAGTACAAGTACGGTGTCCTTGTTGTATGTGGAAAAAAACGCTAGGCACTAGAACATTTAGTTCAGGGTAAACCTGACTCTAGGCGTGCAGTAGCGAAATCAACGCCGTGAGAGATCACATGTCATGAAAGAACTTATAGGTCTTGATATCGATCACTATGAACCTTACTGCACCTATGCAACCAACGACTGCAACTATGGAGAACCATGCAGCAATGGCCAGATGCAGTACCTGCACTACAAGGCGGAGCCTCGTGTTCTTGGGCATTCTTCCAGCTTTGAGAAAAGCCAAGGCCGGGAAGACGAAATCCAAAGGCGTAAATCCAATAGCTCCACAGATGGACACAAAATCTCCAAAGAAGGGCATTGCGGCGGCAACGAGAGTGACAAGAACCATGTAAGCCGAAGTGAAAGCCAGTCTCCGCAAGCAATTCCGAAGGCGTACGCCATCACTTGAAACTTTGGACAGCATCCGTTCCTCGAAGTATGCGTATGTTGGCCTGCAATATATCTGTGGACAGCATGGATGTAATCATCATACATGTATATGCACAGATGGCAATCCCAAAAATGCAGAGAGTACCTGAAAGCATCCTGATATTTGAATCACAGCAAAAACATGTGCCATGACTATTGTCCATTCCGGAATAGTGAGGGAGGATAAGATGAAGGGTTGAACCTGGGATCCAAACGCCCAATAACCACTGAAGGCCAGTTGCCAGTAAGACAGAACGATGATGCTGTATGCAGCTGATACACCTTTGTACATGTTCTTCTTTGCAGGTTCTCTGATAGTATTCTGGTACAAGAATCACATGCCATCACTTCTAATCCATACTTCTATTCACGTAATCTACCAACTTCATTTGTGTCTAGATGTCCTTTGCATAAATGGTTAAAAATTGATGGAATCATCAAAGAGGAATGATTGAAGAGAATATAAAAAGTCAAATGTTCAAGCTTATATTGACAATGATATCCTCTTTTTTTTTCATTTTTTTATAGGAGATGAAGACAAAAGTTAAGGATATTCTTAACTTTCTAGATGGTACCTTTTTTCTTCCTAAGATATCTTAATAATTTTTTAGATATATTAACTTTTGAGAAATTATAATATCTTGCCAGAGAATTTTAACTTCTTCCAAAATATCTAAGATATTCTTTGTTTTTTTAAAAGATCGAAACATCAAAATCTTTCTTCATCAAGATAGTCAAAAACTATTTTTTATCAAGCTTAATTTCAATACTCTAGGTTACTTTTATTTCATCCAGTATGTTAAGAAGTGATTAGAACTTGGTAAATAGTTAAACTCCAAGTGGTTTAGTGAATGTATCGGCTACTTGATCCTAAGTCTTCACATGAATGAGTTTAATTCATATACTCTTAGATGGAGTAAAAGTTTAAGTCAATATGTTTTTTTTTTCCATGATGCATGTTGTGCTCATATTTGGTATTTATCATCTCTAGCAAGCTTCTTAATAATACAGCTGTGAGGATTTTAATGATATTAAAAGGGAGGGTGAATTAGTGCAATAATGATATGGGAGTGCCTAATGATTCTATGATAGTCTCTATAGCCCATAATGCTTATCTCATGACTTTTAATCCAAATCTCTCAAATGTGATAGCCCATAAGTCAAATGAGTTATAAGCCCATTTTTCAAACCGGTAGATGACCTAAATTGATTAAATAGCCCAAATTGATTACTAAAAAGTTAGGGGGCATGCCTTTATAAGTTAAAAAAGCTTAAACTCTTAACTTTCCCATAGGTGTTCAAAGGGAGAGATAATTTAACTTTTCTTCATGACCAAAGAATATATTAAAGAGCTTAATTATTAGTTGTAAAGTAATAAATTTTATAGTTCCCCATAAAGTATTGTTTCATGTATTAATATTTATTTTAGTATTTTAGAGTTAGAAGCAGTTCACAATCTGATTGTATTTACAAAAACTCTTTGAGTTCTCTCTTTCAACTCTGTATCTCTTTGGTTTACTAAAGAGTGGTAGGTTTAGTCTTTGTATCTCTTGGATATTTTCTTAAGTAGTGAGTATTTTTCTTAAGTTTTGTATCCTTTTTTAATTATCCTTAAGCGATGAATTTTTTGTATCCTTTTGTGATTTTAAACTTGGTGAATCTATATATCTCTATTCTGAAAGTGTTTCCAACAAATATAGCTTTCAACCTTTTAAATTTCATTTATCATTTTTCCGGTATTAGTTTGGTATTAGAGCTAAAGGCTAGAGATCATGACAAGACAAAATGAAAAAGAAATAGTTGGTGAACATTATGGCTATGAAGATGATGTTGAGTCCTTGATGTTACAGCTACAAAAATTACTACATAGTCTACAAGAAAAGAATGAAATCATTGAAGAACTTCAAAGATAAAACAACCAGTATAAAAATAATGCCCAAGAGTTTGATTTTGATAATGATACATCTCCTCACCTAAGAGAGTTGGGAAGACATCGAGCAAAGTATAGAGGCCAAGATTGTTGAATATCAGATTTTGATGATGAAATCAATTAATGAAGTTATAATCTAATCAGGGTTTGAGTGACATAGTGTTGGGTCCAGCCCATATGTGGGCTTGGACAATTGGGCCTATTGAGCCCAAATCAGCAAATGAAAGAAATTAAAAAGAGGAGAGAGAAGGTGAGAAAAAGAGATCAGATTACAACACGCATCGTGCGGCGTGCAGAGAAAAGAGGAGAGAGAAATAGAGAGAGAAAGATTAGGTTTCTGAGTTTTCTGCTTGACGATCGGTGGCCAAACGTTATCAGTTTCGGCCCAAATTTTATGTGGAGAATCCATGCAGCAAACTCTACAATCCTAACGGTGTTGATCTGCAGTTTACCCTCTCTAAGGTACTTTCCTACGATATCCACTCTGTGAGACCTAGAATTCTCTTTTGAGGAGATCCATCCTACATGATGAAGATATGCTATTGTTAAGCCAAGATCTATGTTCTTGATGTTATTCTGATCCTTTAGTTATTCTAGAGAAGACCTACTGTAAACCTGTTATCATTATTATTTATAGTGGAAGTTTGAGTTGGACTACGGTCCAGTGGTTTTTCCCACATTTGGTTTTCCACATTAAAAAGATTTGGTCTCACTATGTGATTGATTTTTGCTCTATTGTTTATGCTGTGCTGATTGATATTTTCATTTGGATATCAAGTTGGTATTTTGATGAGGAACCTATTTTAATACACAAAGAGGGAAAGAATTATTCCGTTTTAACAGGTTTCTTCCCAACAAGTGGTATCAGAGCTGGGTTGTTTGGTGCTAGTTTTTTTGTGTGATTGAAATGGAGTAGTCAGATGGTATGTTTAAATTGAACTCATCAAATTATTCCACTTGGAGGTGTCTGATGGAAGATTTGCTCTATTGCAAAGATTTGTATAAGCCTATCAAGGTTAAAGATAAACCTTCTACTATGGACGATGAAGAATGAGAAGTTCAACATAGAAAAGCTATTGCCTATATTAGAAGATGGATGGATATAAACTTGCATGAGCATATTTCAGATGAAACCAGAGCTGATGTTGTTTGGCAAAGGTTAGAAAACCTCTTTGCGAAAAAGACAGTGGGAAATAGAATTTCTCTCCTCAGAAGGCTTGTAAATTTGAAGTATAAAGATGGTGGTAACATTGTTAAGCACATAAGCTTATTTCAGAGTTTTGCAAACAAGTTGATTACTATGAAAATGAATATAGATGATGAGATGCAGGGATTATTACTTCTCAGCTCTTTACTAGAAAGTTGGGAAACGTATGTGGTGACTATTTGTAACTCCACGCTAGAGGGGACTCTAACTATAGATATGGTTAAAGATAGTTTGCTAAATGAAGATGCCAGAAGGAAAGAATAGGGTGAATCTTCTTCTAGGGCATTTGTTACTGAGAAACAAGAAAGACGTGGAAGAAGTCATGGTAGAAATCCACATGGTTATAGAGGAAGATCCAAGTCTAGAAGAGATATCAAATGTTTTCACTGTAATAGGCCAGGTCACATGAAGAAAGAGTGTAGGTTTTGGAAGCGAGAACAGAATGAAATGAAGAAAAATGAAAAAGAGACCAATACAGTTGCTGTTGAAGGTAATATCACTATTGTCTGTGATGAAGGTTGTGTTAGTCTTGTAGTTCAGGACAGTAATTGGGTAATTGACTCTAGTGCTTCATTTCATGTCACTTCTCATGGTGATTTCTTTAGATCTTACACTGCTGGTGAATTTGGTAATGTTAGAATGGGAAACAGTGGTATATCTAAGATTGTGGGTATTGGAGATATTTGCTTGGAGACTAGTATTGGGAGCAAATTGATACTCAAAGATGTAAGGCATGTTCCAGATATTCGTCTTAACTTGATATCTACAAGGTAGACTTGATGATGAGGGTTTTGCACATTA